AAAAAAAAAAAAGAACTTCTGTACCCATTAGTAGCCATTGCCTATTCCCTCCTTCCCTCCCACAGCCCCTCGCAGCCACTAATCTACTGAATGGAATTATATAATGTGTGAAATTTTTTCTTTGTTTTTGAGACAGAGTCACAAGCTGTCACCTTGGGTAGAGTGCTATGGCATCACAGCTCACAGCAACCTCAAACTCTTGGGCTCAAGCGATTCTCTTGCCTCAGCCTCCCAAGGAACTGGGATTACAGGCGCCTGCCGCAATGCCCAGCTATTTTTTTGTTGCACTTGTCATTGTTGTTTGAGATGGCCTGGCCTAGGGGGGAACCTTTTTTTCTATTTTTAGTAGAGGTGAGGTCTCACTCTTGTTCAGGCTGATCTCCAACTGCTGAGCTCAAGCAATCCTGCCTCAGCCTCCTTGAGTGCTAGGATTACTGGTGTAAGCCATCATGCCTGACCCATCTAGCCTACTTTTTAGAGTTTCACAGATAATTTTAGTATGTAGCCAGAATAAAGAATTATTCTTCAGATGCCACTATTAAGGATTCTGCCTGTAATTAGATTTTGTGGATCATTGAGTAAGTGCCAAGGGACCCTTCTCAGTTTTTGGGACTGGGTAGGTACGTATTTGAGAGAGAGACTGCATTCTGAAGCCAGTAGAAATGATTAGCTGATTCATCACTTAGTGCAGCAGCAGCCTCTCCCATTGGAGCGGGTGGGTAGGCCATTGGGCCTGAAGAATCACCCCCAAAGCTCTCTGATGGTTGTCATGGGGAAGTAGGCATAGCTCCTGCTCTCAAAATGTGTACAGTCCAATCAGGGAGATAGGAAAGGCCATCTGCATCTTTCCCCTACCCTCTTCGCCCCCACCATGTCTCAGGGCACTTATTTGTGCTTTTCTTGAATATGTCCTCTATGATTGAAAAGCCATCTTGTTCTTGGTGGGGGTTATGTGCATTCTGGATCAGGAGTTCATTGGGCCTCTTTCCTGCAGGTGGCGGAATATATTTTTTAAAGTAAAGAAAACAGTTGGAGAAGCTCCAAGTGGACCAACTAGCGCCTATTTGGCCGATACCACGCATACCTCTTTGTACATGGTAAGGTCCCAAAGGTAGGAGTAGACCTAGTAAAAGGGATAGAAACAATTTTCAGAGACTAAAGGTTTTTCCTGCCTTTCACAGGTAGGTTCTTCCCTGAGCCCTGTTCCAAGGCTTCCTTCAGGAGAATCCACTCTCTGGAACAGTTTGTCTCCTCCAGGCCTGGAGTCCTTGGTGACTGACCTCTGTGCTATCCTAAAACCCCGCCTCCAGCCAGGGTGAGTGAGGCCACAACCACTGGGTATGAGAAAAGCCTACTTAGAACATCCCGGGAAGGCAGCTGTGAGGAGAGTAGTTACCAGTGCTCTGGCCAGAGTGGGATTAGGAGGACCTTCCTCTAACCCAGTGGTTCTCAACCTGTGGTTCCCACAGGAACTGTATTAAAAGGCTACGGCATTAGGAAAGTTGAGAACTACTGCTCTAACCTGTATGCCTAGTCAGGTCACCAGCCTATTACTTTCTGTAAGCAAATTCTCAGGCTTCTTTCCTGAGATAACCTCCATCCTCCAGGTCAACTCTGGAGGAAAAATCTCTACCAGGGGCAGCTGTCTCTGAGATTGCCCGTCCCCTCAGGGAGCCCTCATGGTCATGGTGTGCTCCCCTGGCCATGAAGGACACAGCTCCCCATACTAGTGGCCCAGGTGTAGAACAGACCCCTCCCTAATGCCTCTTGATACCATCCAGACCAGACCTAATAGTCAAGGCTTTATTGAAGACACGGTGATGACAAAAGGGAATTAGTTTCTAGTTGTTGGATATGCTCTATGCCCTGCCAGAACATCATAGGTGGTGTGGGAGATAATGGCCTCACCATGTGGAGACAGCCCTGTCTGCTTTCCAGGTAGAGAGAAACAAGGTGTCTGTTTTGTAGACCCAAAGGTCCCTGTGTTACTGGTCACTCTGAAGTTTGGGCACAATGAAGGTGGTTAAGTGTCTGTTCTCTGATTGCAGGGGTGCCTTATTGACAGGAACTAGCAGTGTCCTTCTCTGGGGCCCCCCGGGCAGTGGGAAAACCACAGTAGTTGATGCTGCCTGTGGTCGCCTTGGGCTCCACTTATTGAAGGTGAGGGTCTCTGGAGAGTAACCCCAGCTACCTTCCCTCCCCAGCTCAGTTTCTCTCTCTCTTCTTCCTCTCCCCTCCCTCCTCCATCTAGCTGGACCCTAATACTTTAGCCCAGTGGGTCAGACTTGTTCCCATGATGCTAAGCTATTGAGAGGTGCTTTGGAGAAGGAGGGGCTTTGGGCAGGGCTTTGCTCACACCTGTAATCCTAGCATTCTGGGAGGCCAAGGCAGGTGGATTGCCTGAGCTCAAGAGTTTGAGACCAGCCTGAGCAAGAGTGAGCAAAGACCCGTCTCTACTAAAATTAGAAAAACTAGCAGGTGCCTATAGTCCCTTCTGCTTGGGATGCTGAGGCAGGAGGATCATTTGAACCTAAGAGTTAGAGTTTCCTGTGAGCTATGATGATTCCATAGCACTCTACCCAGAGCGACAGAGTGAGACTCAGTCTCAAAAAAAAAAGGAGGAGGAAAGGCTTTGAAGATTTTGGCAGACAGTCCAGGGAAATGGGCAGGGTAAGAAGAGGTGGGATTTGACCAGTGTTCCTTCTTCCCTTTTCCCTGCTCCCCAAAGAAAAAGATGGCCTGCATCTTCTTCTGACTTCTCTCCCCAAATTCTCCTGCTGCAGCCATGCCTGCCCCCTGCTCACAGGCTTCTTGGAACACCCCCCCCCCCAGGTGCCCTGCTCCAGCCTCTGCGCAGACACTAGTGCAGCTGTGGAGGCAAAGCTGCAGTCCACCTTCTCCCGGGCCCGCCGCTGTCGGCCTGTGGTCCTATTGCTGACAGCTGTGGACCTTCTAGGTCGGGACCGTGATGGGCTGGGTGAGGATGCCCGTGTAGTGGCCGCGCTGCGTCACCTCCTCCTCAGTGAAGACCCCCTTAGCAGGTATTTATACAAAGCTGAGCCTGTTGAAGGGGCAAGCTCAGCCTTCCTAATTCTCTTCAGCCTTTCAGTCCTCTTTTCCCACATTCCTCAATGGCTTCTCATACATCTACCACTCATTTGACAACCCTGAGCTCAGAGTCTTAGGGGGATTCTGAGGGAGAAAGAAATAGTCTAGTATTTCTTAGAGAATATTCAGTTTTTAAAAAACCACAAGGCCAGGCACAGTGGCTCATGCCTGTAATCCCAGCAGTCTGGGAGGCCAAGGCAGTTGGATTGCCTGAGCTCACAGGTTCGAGACCAGCCTGAGCAAGAGCGAGACCCTCTCTAAAAATAGCCAGATAGGGCTCGGCGCCTGTGGCTCAAGTGGTTGGGGCGCCAGCCATGTACACCTAGGGTGGCGAGTTCGAATCCAGCTGGGGCCTACCGAGACAACGATGATGGTTGCAACCAAAAAAAATGGCCTGGCGTTGTGGCAGGCACCTGTGGTCCCAGCTACTTGGGAGGCTGAGGCAGGAGACTTGCTTGAGCCCAGGAGTTGGAGGTTGCTGTGAGCTGTGATGCCACAGCACTCTACCCAGGGGGATAGCTTGAGGCTCTGTCTCAAAAAAAAAAAAAAAAAAGCCAGATAGTGTGGTGGGGGCCTTTAGTCCCAGCTACTTGGGAGGCTGAGGCAAGAGAATTGCTTGAGCCCAAGAGTTTGAGGTTGCTGTGAGCTGTGACACCAGGGCACTCTACTGAGGGCAACAAAGTGAAATTGTATCTCAAAAAAAAAAAAAAAAAGCCTCTGCCCTGGATGAGCTCTATATGTGAGGGGGGGAAACAAAGGACCCCCCCAAGGTATTCCCATGGACCCCCATGCAGGAACTGGGGTAGGTGTTCCCTGCCTATCCCATCTAGCACACTCCCCGCCCCTGCCCTTCTGCACCTCCCTTGAGACAAGGCAGTGTTCAGGAACTGCCAGCCACATTGCCACCCTCAGCTCCCACTTCTCTGTCTATAGCTGCCCTCCCCTGATGGTTGTGGCCACCACAAGCCGGGCCCAGGACCTGCCTGCTGATGTGCAGACAGCATTTCTGCATGAACTGGAGGTGCCTGTGCTGTCAGAGGGGCAGAGACTTAGCATCCTGCGGGCCCTCACTGCCCACCTTCCCCTGGGCCAAGAGGTGAACCTGGCACAGCTGGCGCGGCGGTGTGCAGTGAGTGTCAGGTACCAGGCCTCCCTGGGAGGTCATAGGTCCTTTGTCACAGTACTGCTACCCTTCCTGTGAGGGTACAAACCCCCAAGACATCAACATTGGGCCTTAAAAAAAAAAAAACTGGGCCTCTGCTCCAGCTAGGACCAAACCTCCAAGGGTTTGTGCCTACTGTGTCCTGCTCATGTGTCCTCTCCCTATTCCTTAGGGCTTTGTGGTAGGGGATCTCTATGCCCTTCTCACCCACAGCAGCCGAGCCGCCTACACCAGGATCAAGAACTCAGGGTAAGGGGAGTTGAGTACGGGGTGGGGGGAGTGGGGAATGGAGGAGGAAATGTATGTGAGTGGCTGGTTGATAAGAAGGGAGAAGGGAATTGGACTTGGGGGGGAGAGGCCTCACACAAGGTACTTCAGAGGCCTCCCTATATTTCTTTTTGTAGTTTGGCAGGCAGCTTGAGCGAGGAAGATGAGGGGGAGCTGTGTGCCGCTGGCTTTCCTCTCTTGGCTGAAGACTTTGGGCAAGCACTAGAGCAACTGCAGACAGCTCACTCCCAGGCTGTCGGAGCCCCCAAGGTGGCAACTCCAAGTCCTTGGAGGTGGGATAGGAGCTGCCCCCACCAGCTATCCCAACCTTGCACTTTCCATCTCCTAGATCCCCTCAGTGTCCTGGCATGATGTGGGCGGGCTGCAGGAGGTGAAGAAAGAGATTCTGGAGACCATTCAGCTCCCTCTAGAGCACCCTGAGCTGCTGAGCCTGGGCTTGAGACGCTCAGGCCTTCTGCTCCATGGGCCCCCTGGCACTGGCAAGACCCTCTTGGCCAAGGCAGTGGCCACTGAGTGCAGCCTTACCTTCCTCAGGTGGCCTGGGGCTTCGGAAGGGATGGTGGGTGGATTTGGTGCTGCCCTAGAGGTTGACTGTGTGTGTGTGTGTGTCTGATGGGTCTCACCTTCCCCTGTCCTCTCACTCAGCGTGAAGGGGCCAGAGCTCATCAACATGTATGTGGGCCAAAGTGAGGAGAATGTGCGGGAAGGTGAGTGAGCAGGGAAGGCAGGGGTCCCACCCTTCCCAAACCCAGATGGCCCCTATGCCGTCCCCATCCTTAGGCTGCTCACAGTCATTCCTAGTCCTCCTTTCCAGTCAGCCTTCTGTCCAGCTGGATCTAATTCTGGAGTGCCAGTGTTCACCTGTCAGAACCCAGTTTCCCTCCTCCCTTTCCTCTCCTGTGAGCCCCTCTCTCTTCAGTGTTTCACAGGGCCCGGGCTGCAGCTCCATGCATTATCTTCTTTGATGAACTGGATTCTTTGGCCCCAAGCCGAGGGCGAAGTGGAGACTCTGGAGGTGTGATGGACAGGTGGGGGTCTGAGTGAGAATAGAGTCTGGGGTCCAGGTTGGGAGGGATGTGAGATAGACAACAGCAGTCTTCAGACCAGAGCCCAAAGATGGAAGTTCCTGCCCTTTCAGTTCTGAGATAGTGTAATGGAAGCCAAAAGGGACTTCCATTGGGTAGGGGACACTGAGGAAAACAGGGGCCTCAGTGGAGAGGTACATAGGTCATAGCCGAGCAGAGGACCCTGTGGAAACAGCAAGGTGTGAACTGGACATGGTGGCTATGCCTATAGTCCTAGTCCCAGCTACTCAGGGAGGCTGAGGCAAGAAGATTGCTTGAGCCCAGGAGTTAGTTTGAGGTTGCTGTGAGCGATGAAACCAGAGTACTCTAGCCTGGGGCAACAATGAGAGACTCTCTCAAAACCCCCTAGAAACAGTAAGGTGCACTACCACACACAGGTGCAAAGGCTGAGGGGCCAAGGACTCTCTCACCTTCGCTTCCTCCTCTACAGAGTGGTGTCTCAGCTCCTAGCTGAGCTGGATGGGCTTCACAGCACTCAGGATGTATTTGTGATTGGAGCCACCAACAGACCAGACCTCCTGGACCCTGCCCTCCTGCGGCCTGGCAGGTGAGCACCCCTGTGCCTCTCACCACCACCAGGCCCATTTGGGCTTGTCTGTCTACCTGCATCCTATGCCTCCTTCACTCTCATGGCTGGGTTCCGTGACACTTATACCTGCCCATCTCCCTAAAGATTTGATAAGCTGGTGTTTGTGGGAGTGAGCGAGGACCGGGCCTCCCAGCTACGTATTCTGAGCGCCATCACACGCAAGTATGCCTTGGTAGAGGAAGACTGCCTCCCACAGAGCTAGGGGCTTGGGATGGTTGGGGATGTGTGGATAAGCTGGTCAGCAACGGCTTTCAAGTGAGGAGGTGATGCAGCCCTTGTTGTTCCTTTCCCATATCCCTACAACAGATTTAAGCTAGAGCCCTCTGTGAGCCTGGCAAACGTGCTGGATTGCTGCCCTTCCCAGATGACAGGTGCAGACCTCTACTCTCTCTGCTCTGATGCCATGACAGCTGCTCTCAAACGCAGGGTTCATGGTCTGGAGGAAGGTAAGCCACTTGCCAGCCCCAAAGGCCATCCAGAAAGCTATGGAGACCAGGGTGTGCCTATAGTTCCAGCTGCTTTAGAGGCTGAGGAGGATCGCTTGAACCAAGAGTTTCAGGCCAGCCTGGGCAATATAGGAAGATCCCAAAAAACTGGGAGATAAGCCTGGTTCTGGATTTCAGAGGCAAACTGTTGACATCTAGGGGATTCTTAGTAGGAAGATCCCTTCATAGGGCTCTCTCCTGCCTGGATATTGACCACATCCTCTGTTCCCACTTGGGATGGGGACTAGGCCTTATCTCCCACTTGTCACTTCCAGGGCTGGAGCCTGGGAGCTCAGCACTGCTACTTACCATGGAGGACCTACTGCAGGCAGCTGCCCGGCTGCAGCCCTCAGTCAGCGAGCAGGAGCTGCTCCGGTACAAGCGCATCCAGCGCAAGTTTGCTGCCTGCTAAGAGTCTCCTGAAGTCTGGGACCCTGCCCACAGTGCCTAAAGGTACCTAGCTAGCTTCACATTGAGCCGTGAGAGGGAGGGGCTGCTGCCTACCCACCTGAAGGTACCTCCTCCCTCCGGGAGAGCCCCCAAGTGCAGAGTGAGTGGCATTGAGACCCCAGCGAGAGCATAAAGGCATTGCCTGCCTTCTTGCCCCTTCTTCCAGGCTGGCTCTAAGATTAAGACCCATCTGTTCAGGGGAAGGGCAGCAGCCTAGGATTCTGGGAATTGGGCTGAGAAGGCCAGTTCTGTGGCTGAAAATAAAGTGTTTGCCTCCCTCTGCTGGTGTTGTGGTATGAAAGATTGGAGTGGGGAGAACAGGGTTGTGGGAGGAGTAAGCCCTCAGGGAAGGCAGGGGTGGGCACTGTGAGCAGAATCCTTCTGACATAAACATAAGGCATGCCAGAACTGAAAAAGGTACAGACTATATTGTTTGCCCTTCTGTTCACCTGAACCCACATCCCTGTGCCCCAGCTGTGATCTGCTCTAGAAGCTGCTGGTTCCCATCTCCCAGACAGCTGGAAGTGCCTGGGTGCAGAGGGTCATGGGAACTGAGGCCACATTCAGTCTGTCCTCTTGAGCACGTGGATAAAGTAGCAGGGAATATAGGCCTGACCCGGCTTGTAAGGCTTGAAGTCGCCCAGGATGCTGTGCTGGCACTTGCCCCCAAAGGCTGCTCGCAGCAACTCCGTGAAGGATGCCAGGCGGTGCGGGTAGTAGGAGAGCCGGAACTTACTGCAAGAGAGCCCCAGGCCAACCATGAGGACTGGGGGGCTCAGTACCCACCACCACCACTGCACCCCCACCGAGCCAAATGGTACCTCAAGCCAGGAGAACCATCCTGGCCAGCCCCTGGCACCTGCACCGTGTAGTCCAAGGTTACCATGTGGGCTTTGTTGTTCACTGTCAGCACTGATGTTGTGATGTCCTTGGTCAAGTCACTCTGTCAATGGTGGTGCAGGCTGCCTTAGCCTCTGTAACCCATCAGGGGCCCTGGACCCCAGAGTCACACCTCCCAGTCTAGACCTCTTTTCCCCAGTGGGCCCCACCTTGTAGTAGATGTTCTTCCCTGGGGGTGCACAGCCTGTGCTGAGGATGTGGTCATAATTGCGATGATCAATGATCAGCAGGCCCCCTGACCGCACCATGCTTGCAATGTTCTTCAATGCTACCTGGTGTTCACTCTGGTCCCCTGAGCTCCAGATAGGGATAGAAAGGCTTTGTCTGCTCAGGACCCCCAGCACCAGTCTCCCTCCTACCTCTCCCCTTCCCAGGGGTGCCAGAGCCAAGGCAGAGAAAGGAAAAAAAAGCAGAGTGTGCTTTGGCAGGAGAGCAAGTGTCCAGGGGTCTGTGGAAAGGGGCTCAAGGCAAGGGCCATGCCCAAGGCCACACCCTCCCTCACCTTTGCAGTCTGGCAAGTGGGCAAAACTGTTTCCAAGGCAGATGACAGCATCAAAGCCACCTTCTGCTGGCAAGGGCACATCTTTGTTCAGAGTCATCCAGTTGGCTTCTTCTATGACTAGGGGAGGGAGGACAGGAAGGAAAAGAGGAATCAGGGTGGCCCCATGGTACCCAAAGTACCCACCTCCACCAAGTGCAGTCCTGCCTCAACTTCTTCCTGAGGACACACATCCAATGAGGGGAGGAGAGAAGAGGGGTCAAGGGAAGAGGGAGCCGTAGCTGAGGAGGAGGGCTCTGTTCTTAGGGGTTTTTATTTGGGGATGAATAGGACACTATAAACAGTTAAAACTAGCTCTTCACATCTAGTGCCAAAGCCTCATATTTCAGGGAAATGACAGTAATTTTGCTGTCCCCCTGAGGAAATCAAAACACCTCAACTCTTTGCCCACCCACCCACCTAAAGGAGCCCAGGGTAATAGTGTTCCTGGTGGCTGTGCCGGAAGGGTCTAGCTAGACTTGCATACCCCATTTATCAAAGGCTGGCTCATGTCGCCGGTTCCAGCGTTCTTTAAGTGCATACTTCAGCATCTTGTCACTGGCATCCACGCTTGTCACGGTGAAGCCCTCTTCCACCAGCATGATGGAGTCCACCCTGGGTGGAGCCAGGGATGAGAGGCAGAGAGGGACAGTGAGGGGGCTTGGGAGAGCAAGGAGGAGGCCCGATGCCAGACACTTCTGTCTCAACTCTTCAGGGTCCATTCCCCAGCTTCCTTTCCCCAAACCTCTCCACTGACCTCAGATAACCTCACAAATCTGTTTCCTATCACCACGTAGCAACTTTTTTATTTTTATTTTTTTTTGAGACAGTGCCTCAAGCTTAGCCCCTGGGTAGAGTGCCATGGCTTCACTGCTCACAGCAACCTCCAACTCCGGGGCTCAAGCAAGTCTCCTGCCCCAGCCTCCCAAGTAGCTGGGACCACAGGCGCCGACCACAACGCCTGGCTATTTTTTGGTTGCAGCCATTATTGTTGTTTGGCGGGCCCAGGCTGGATTCGAACCTGCCACCTTAGGTGTATGTGGCTGGCACCTTAGCCGCTTGAGCCACAGGCGCCAAGCCGTAGCAACTTTTTTAAAAGCACCTTTCAGAGCCAGGCCCTCTACAAATGTGCATTAATCTTCACAGCAACTCTGCAAGGTAAAGGGCACTATCCCATTTGAGAGACATGCAAACCAGCTCCTGGAGGTTAAGTTTAAAACTTATGGACAGGAGGCAGTATATCACGGTGGTTAAGATTACCTGCAGGCCCTAACTAATCTCTCCACTGAACTGGGGATTTTTATTCCCTGAGGCCTAATTTCCCCAATGGTAAGTACTACTACTACTTATATGGGGTTTCTGTGAGTGTTTGAAAACATGTATTAGGGCTTGGCATGTGCAAATGTTAAGCAAATGTTAATTTTTACCGCTGCCCAAGGCCATCACAGGAGGAGCATTACTGTAGCCAGGATCCAAGGATCCTGTCTCTGGCCGGGAAGCCCCATGACCCCTCACTTCTCTGCCCACACTCTCACTCTCCCTCAGTGTCCTGGACCCCCTTGCCGGTGCACTAGCAGTGCTCATTGCTGGCCCTGGAGTCCCACTTCTCCAGATGGATGAAGGCTGCCCACGTGCCCAGCCGCGGTCCTCTGGTCTGGCAAGCCCAGGCTGAGCCAGATCTGGCTGCCGACCCCACCCTCTCTCATGCGACCCCCCACGCGTGCTCACCCGGTGCCACAGGCCACGTCGAGCACCCGCTGGCAGCCGTGCTGGCGCAGCAGCCCAAGCAGCCATGCCTTGTACTCGGCGGTGCGGCTGCGGGTGTCCCCGATGTAGAGCTGCCACACGCGCGCCGCCTCCCCGTCCGCATACTGGTCCGGGAGCCCTTCGGCTGCCACCCCTAATGAGCGGGTCCGGTACACACTGTCCACCATCCTGAGCCTCGCCTGGCTCCGCAGCCGCCGGCTCCGCACTTATAGAGCGGGCGCTGCTTGTAGCCCCGCGGCCCAACCTGGCCAATGGCAGGTGAGCGCGGGGACACGCCCCTGTTGGGCTCTGGGCCCAGGGCCTTCTGCTGTCATGGTGCGGGGAGGGCGCTGCCTGGGCTGGGCCCTTTTTGCTAGCCTGAGTACTCAGCACTTTGTGCGATCCCAAGACGGCAGAGGACCCTCTGACCCTTCCAGCCCTCTGCCCACTTAACCTGAGTTGCTAGAAGGACCCGGGAGGGACCAGAGGATGGGGGAGCAGTGAGACTGTCCACTCCACCCCCACCCCAGTTGGAAAGAAAGAGAATAAAACTTCAAAATCCACACAGAGCTGAGCTCCTAGGCGGGTAGGGTTGGATTTGTGGCACCACGTGCCTGTAGTAGAGGCCAGGAGTTCAAGACCAGCCTGAGCAAGACAATAAAAACTGGCCAGGTGTGGTGGCACATTTCTGTAGTCCCAGCTACTGGGGAAGCCAAGGCAGGAGGATAGCTTGAGCCCGGGAGTTTGAGATTGCAAACTCCACTGCACTCCCGCTCGGGCAACAAAGCAAGACTTTGTCTCAAAAAAAAGTAAAATAAAATATTTGAAAAATTATATGGCTTAGGAAAATTTACTGTCTTTTTGTCCACTTATTACTTTCTTTTCTATTTACTTGACCTGGGAAAGGAACACTAAAGATGGTAGAAGGGTCGCTCTTTCAACCCTCTCTGAAAGCACCTGAGATAAACCTGGATTTTTTTTTTTTGAGACAGAGCCTCAAGCTGTCCCCCTGGGTAGAGTGCTATGACATCACAGCTCACAGCAACCTCCAACTCCTGGGCTCAAGCGAGTCTCCTGCCTCAGCCTCCCAAGTAGCTGGAACCACAGGCACCCGCCACAACGCCCGGCTATTTTTTGGTTGCAGCCGTCATTGTTTGGCAGGCCCAGACTGGATTTGAACCTGCCACCTTTATGTGTATGTGGCTGGTGTCTTAGCTACTTGAGCCACAGGCGCCCGGTCGATTTTTTTTTTTTTTTTGAGACAAAGTCTCTGTATGTCGCCCTCAGTAGAGTGCAGTAATGTCACAGCTCACAGCAACCTCATCAAACTCTTGGGCTTAAGTGATTCTCTTGCCTCAGCCTCTCAAGTAGCTGGGGCTACAAGTGCCTGCCACAACACCAGCCATTTTTTGTTGTTGTAAATCATTGTTGTTTATCTGTTCCGGGCTGGGTTCAAACCTGCCTGCCAGGGTGTATGTGGCTGGAGACCTAAGCACTGAACTACAGGCGCTGAGCCGAATTTTTTTCTTTTGGGGGGCTTCAAAAAGTTGTTGGGGCCAGGTGTGGTGGCTCACACTTGTAATCTGAGTGCTCTGGGAGGTCGAGGCAGTTGGATTGCCTGAGCTCAGGAGTTCAAGAAGTGGAGCAAAAGCAAGCCCCTCCTCCCTCTAAAAAAATAGCTGGGTGTTGTAGAGGGCGCCTGTAGTCCCAACTACGTGGGAGGCTGAGGGAAGAGAATCGCTTAAGCCCAAGAGTTTGAGGTTGCTGTGAGCTATGATGCCACAACACTCTACCCAGAGCGAAGTAGTGATACTGTCTCAAAAAAAGAAAAACAAGGCTGGGCACCTTTAACTCAGTGGTTAGGGCACCACGTGCACAGAGGCGGGTAGGTTCGAACTCAGCTGGGGCCTGCTTAAAAAAAAAAAATAGCCAGGCATTGTGGCAGGCACCTGTAGTCCCAACTACTTGGGGGGCTGAGGCAAGAGAATCACTAAGCCCAAGAGTTTGAGGTTGCTGTGAGCTATGACACCATAGCACTCTACCCAGGGCAAGGTAGTGAGACTCTGTCTCAAAAAAAAAAAATCAGTATAATCACATCAAGTTGTGAGATGCATTAGGCCCTTTGGGTCTCAATATATAAGGACAAGTATTTTGTTATTTTGGTATTGTGGGCTTTTTCTTCTCCCCCCATTTATGTAAATAATAGTGAAACCTGAGAGAAATGCCTTGATTTGTAAATTTAGACTCTCTGCCCACCTTTTCATTTGGAAATGACACTCAAAGAATGGATTAAGAAACTCTGATGAAAATATTTAGAGGCTAAAGCTATATGCTCCATATTGATAAGAAAATTGTTCAAGTATTTTAAATATAGATGTTTTTAAACTACACAGAGAAGATTAGCATGGCCTCATTTGAAGATGACAAGCGTAGCTTCTAAATGTACACACTTTCCATTTCGTTAACAAGATTTTTGTCCCCACGTTACTAATTGTTGGATTTCGTTCTCATCCAGAAATTTTTTTTTTTTTTTTTGAGACAGAGTCTCACTATCTTCCAGAAGGGAATGCAGTGGTGTCATCATAGCTAACTACAACCTCTAACTCCTGGGCTCAAGCAATATTCCTATCTCAGCCTCCTAAATAGCTAGGAGTACAGGCCTAGCTAAGTTTTCTTGGTTTTTTTAATAAAGAAGGGGTATCTCTAGGTTGTCCAGGCCAGTCTCAAACTCTTAGCCTCAACTGATCCTTCTATCTTGGCTTTTCAAAATGGTAGTATTACAAGGAGCTACCAAGCCTGGCCTCAACTCTTCTTTTTTTTTTTTTTTTTTTTTGAGATGGAGCCTCAAGCTATCCGCCTGGGTAGAGTGCCATGGCATCACGTTCACAGCAACCTCCAACTCCTGGG